CTTAGAATTAACATGAGAGGGCAGCAAGTTCATTGTATACAAAATCAACGTACAAAAAGCGATAGCAGATAATTCTTCTCAAAAACTCCTAACCCAAGATATTACCACGAGAAAATATTAGACAAATTCAAATTGAGAGACATTCTACAAAATACCTGACTACTACTTCTCAAAACTGCCAAAGTTATGAAAAACAAGAAAATATGAGAACATGTTACGGCCAGGAGTTGTGGGACGGAAGAAAGGCATTTATGGGAAAATGGGTGAAATCCAAGGAAAGTCTGTAGTTTAATCGATAGTTTTATACTAATATTAACGTCTTCATTTTGACAATGTATCAAGGTTATGCAATGATGTTAAGGGATTTTTGTAAAATCTTCACAACTTTTCTGTAAATCTGTAGTTTTCCCTCTTCCAAAAAAGCTAGACCACTGTTGTAACCCGAAAATAACCAATTGGATGAGCAGTCAGTAAAAAGACCCCCTGAAGGCAAATAGGGTCTTTGTAGGGGGAAAAGCTGCAATCTGTTGATGACCATAGAAGACGTGTACATGGGGGGTGGCATAGACCACCGTCAGAGGTGGGAGGCTTTGGCATAACATTTTCAGGTTTCTCTAAATTGCTTTGTGGATTTATTCAGTTGAAATCCCAATAGGATAGTTGATCAAGCTTGACAAGCTAATTCTAAAAGTAGTTTCAAGATGGAGGACTAAGAATAGTCAGACACTTTTGGGAAAAGGTAGGGCAGTTGCCCTTTCAAATATCAAGATAACATAAACCTATAATAATGAATGTGCTCGGCTAATGCACAGAGATAGGCATGAGCCAGTGAGGCAGCCAGAGAGTTTAGGAGCAGGCCCCACTCACCTACAGAAACATGTCAGGAGGAAAAATAGAGCCGTCCCCGAGAACACCTACAAAAGTAAACACAGAAACTAAAACATGAAGCTCTTAGACTGTCTTTACAGCCTCAGTGTGGGGAGAGATTTCTTAAGGTATGAAGAGGTGAAATGTCTCAGCACCAATATTTAACACTCGGCCATGACAATATTGCTGGCTTTTCTTCTAACCTTGTTTGTGGTATGGATTCTGGACATTTATTAAGTGTGACTGGGGTAGGGGCAGGACGTGATTCAAGTTGGAACATGACCTTTTACTCACCGTTAAAGATCACCCTGGATGCTGTGCGGAGAGGACTGGGGGGAAGGGTTTGGTTTGGTCAAGTGAGTAGGTGGTTGGGACTGTCCCGCAGAGGGAAAACCTGGGACGGATCTCGGGTGCCGCTGCGGTGGAGAGTCGGCAGCACTTGCTGATGAATCGGATGTGGGTGGCAAGAAAAAGGGGAATTGGGAGCGATTGTGAGGTTTTGGGCTACCACAACTGGTGCTATTTATAGAAATGGGGGGAAAGGACATTCTAGTTTGTCTTAAATGCTTTGAGTTGCCTATCAGGCATCAGGTGGAACAGACTGGGCTTCTGTGGAGGGTCCAGTGGCAGAAGGTTTAAATTTGAGAGCTAGAGGTGTGTAGGCGGCATATGAGCCATGCGACCAGGTGCGGCTGCCCCTTGAGGTCGATGGAGGCGTCTAATGGCTGAGGGCTGAGCGTTCAGGCAAAGGTTGGACAGCCTAGAAGCCGGCGAAGATGACCGGGAAGAGGCCGTGAGCTTAGGGGGAACGAGGGCAGTGTTGTGTCATGGAAAATAAGATAGCAGGTTTTGCGCTATCGTTTGTTTTAACGAGGATGTTTGAAGATCAAGATGAGGGTAGGAACAGATTTCTCAGCCGCATAGAGAATTGCTGAAATTCCCGAGTGTGGAAGGGATAGCAGCTCATATGACACAGTAGGGAGAGAATGTGCTGCGGGCCTGTTGAGTCAGTGACATGAGACTTCCAAGAGGCTTTTCATTTTTTTTGGGGGGGGGGCATTTCTGAGAAAAGAGGGGAGTCGCTAGAGGAGCTCTGAGAACGTGTGGTATCTGATGGCAAGGAATGACCCAGGATCCAGAGAGAAGCTGGTATTGCAGATGGACGCCTTTGAAAAGGAGAGGGAGTGGGGTCTATAGAACATGATAAAATCACCTCTAAAACCACAACCAGACCTTAGTATCACTTGGGGAGCTCCAGACAAACACGTCTGAGGGACCCTGGGTCCCTATCAGCTCCCCCGATTATCCTGACATGTAGCCAGACTTGAAAACCTCTGACCCAAGGGGCAGTGCCACATGCACGTTTAGGGGTGCCTGGAAGATTTCTGTGGCACTGCTGGGTGAGAGGACACTGTGAAGACTTGAGTTTAGATCACCCCTCACCCAAGCCAGGAGCTTCTTCATGTAGCAAGCAACTGCATACTAAGTATAAATTTCAGTTTATATTTACCTAAAACTTACTAAATAGAAATTGTAGTTTGGGGGGTCTCATATTCTGTGTGCTCTTAGGTAACCTGCTTTTTGTAACTAACTGTATCTTATGAAAAAATTTCCCTTTAAAATTCGTACTGGCCACATAATATTGCAAAGTATGATTTAAGAGGATGCAATTTAATTCTGCCGAGCACATTTTTCTAATAAGAACGTTCCGTGAATAGGCTGGCGTGTAATCTGTTGTACATCTCCGCCTAGTCCCCCTGCTTTAGTTCCTTGAAAGCGAATAATTGGACTCCGAGGCGACATTAATGAGCTTTTTATAATTCATTGATTTTACTCCTAGAGAAGAAATACATGTTTCTGGCAGGAACATTCAAACGGTCTGGGTGGGAGAAGAGGACTCCCCCCCACGCCCCTTTCCCGAGAGGTAACCAGTGAGCAATTCCTTGTAGACTTTTCCAGGAGTTTTACCTGCATGGGTGTTCATGCTGAACAAACAAACGAAAACACTTACCAGGTGCTTCACTCGGCATCTCCCTAACTGCGCTAGTGGCGGTCCCTCCTAGCCGGCTCTGCGCACTCGCCCGCGTTAGCGCGGCTCCCTGTGCCCTGCCAGCCCCGCTCCGCCCGCCCGCCCGGCGCTGCCCGCCGCCCGCGTGGAGACGGCGCTGTGGGCGCAATCGCCGGCGTCGGGTTAGCGTTTCTCGGAGTCGAGTCGGAATGTTTGTCCCTGGGGTCTGTCTGCCATTTGCATTTTCCCGTGAATTGCCAGTTTCCTTCCCTTTCCCCCCCATTTTCCTGGTTTGCTTTGGTCTTTATGTGACTGGTCTCCCAAGATCTCTTCATAGAGGAACACGTGAGCCCCCCTGTGTGCCGTGGGTCTCGGGCGGAGAAGTCTTGTCTCCGGCTTCCTTGTCTCTCGACTCCAACATACATGTTTTCTCGGATTTACATTTTTAGACAGATATACGTGCCCCCCCCTCCCACACACACACACTCGCCTTTTTCTTCCTTCGCAGTTTTGCGTTCGGGAGCCATTAGCAGCGGTCCCGCTGCACCCCCGTTTCTTTGTGTTGGGGTCGCACAGCCCCCCGCCCCTTTCCAGACCCCTCTTCGGGGCCCCTCGCTTGGGCTCCGTTGACGTCAACCTCTGGCTCTGGCGCCAAGCGATAGCTCCAGGCAACTGTGCTCTGATTGGCAGGGTGCGGGTGCCCTGGGGGGGTGGCAGGGTGGCGCGCCGCCGCTGATTGGCGCCCGCCGGAGCCCTGCCCCTGCGGAGAGCCTCACAAATAGGCGCGGGCAGCGCTTCGCCGCCGCAGTCGCCCGGAGCCGGAGGACCAGGTTGGAGCAGAGGAGCGGAGGAGCGGACATGTCCACCCTGGGCTGGTGGCGCCGCCGGGCGCCAGGGACCGTGCGGGCGCACTAGCCAGGGCGCGGGCTGCGCCTCGCTGGCCTCTGGGCCAGCCGCTGTGCGTGCGGTGCGGTGCGGTGTGGTGTGGTGAGGTGAGTCCGGCCGCCCGCCCGCGCCTCCGTGCCAGGCGGGTGCGTCGGTATCACGCCGCAGGTGCGGTGCCCTCGGCGGACGGGGGTCCGCGGCGAGCTGGGGATGCGCGCTTGCCGCAGCGGCACCAGCTCGTGCGGCCGGCCGCCCGCCCGGTGGAAGCGGCCGCGGAGTCGGAATCGCGGGTTGCCGCGCTCTGTTGCCGCGCTCTAGGTGGGGGACAGGGGCGCGATGGCCGCGGTGGAGACGGGCTCTGTCACTGCCGGCCGGCCAGGGTGGGCGTCCGGGCGGCGGCCGGCCCCTGCGTGCGTGGGTGGCGCGGTCTCGGGGTCTGCCCGCTCTCCCGGGCTGGGGCTGCAGGGCTGGACCCTCCTCCCAGGCGGTCCCTGGTCGGCTCGGCTCCTGGGCCGCCTGGCATCCTTGCCGCGTGGGGGCGGTGCTTGTTTGCCGCAGTGGCCGTGGGAGGAGCTAAGGGCTGCGAGGGGCTATGTGACGCCTGTGGGTTAGGGGAGCCCCGCCTACCCTGGCAACCTGATCGCTAGGGGAGGTTTGCTGGGAAGGCGCTGTCCTGATTGGTTACTTGCGGATTGGGGCGGGGCTGGGGGCTGTCATCACAGGCGCTTTGGGCTATGACGGTCTGGGAGCCCCGCCTGCGTCGGCGCCATCTTTAGTGGGGGCAGCGGGGGTTTGCCGCGCAGGCGCAGTTTTGCTGGCTGGCCGCAGGGGGCGGGGCCCGGGGCTGTGCGGCTGCAGTGATTGAAGGCTGCGGGGGTCCTGCCTGTCTCGTACCTTTCTCGGCGTGTCGGTTCCAGCCCGATTAGTCTGGACTCTGACTGAGATTGAGCCACGGCTAGTGTCCGACATCTGGAGAGCAGGCGCGGTGCCTGCATTTGCCATGGCTGAGGCCGCTTTGGAACTCGGACGGATACAGGCTGTCAGTATGCCGGGTGGGGGGGCCTTCAGGGGCTCACCGCCCCCTTGTAGTCTTTTCAGGACTGTTTGTACCCTGGGGTGTGTCTGGCTGCAGTTTTTGGCGGGGGGGGGGGGTGCTAGGGGCGGGGGAGTAACCAAGGTGTATTGCACAGGTGGCTCTGTGGCCTTTGGGGACCGATGCCCTGCGGCTATGTAAGTTGGCTGGTAGGTGCAAGCCAGGGCTGTTGCTCAGGCGCCCACATGAATGACAGCTTGGCTGGCTGCAGGGGCGGGCCTGAGGGAGGGGCTCCTTAGCCCCACCTACTCTAGCGCTGTGTTGGCCCACAGGTAGTAGGAGATTTATTGCGGAGACGCCATCTTGAGTGACAGCACGGCTGGCTGCAGGGGCTGAGCCCAAGGCAGGGCTGCGTGTCTTGAGTGACTGATGGGGGCTGCGGTCCTGCGTACTCGCGCGCTATGGGGGCCCGACAGGTGGCCCATGAGGCTTACAGCGCAGGCGCCATCTTGAATGACTGCGAGGCTGCAGAGGGCGGGACTGAGAGGATGACGTATTTTGAGTGACTGGTGGTGGGAGGTGCCGACCCAACCCACCTTGCGGTGCCTGTTGGCCGGTAAGTGGCGTTTGAGGCTTACTGCGCACGCGCCATCTTGCAGGTGGCCCGCAGGGGGTGGATCCAGTGGCGGGCCCACCCCCGCCCGTCCGGGCCCTGTGCTGGCCAGCAGGTGGCGCTGAGGCTTACCGCGGGGCCGTGAAGATAAAGGACGGCGACGCCGCAGGGGCGGGGCCTGGGAGGCCTGGGGGCCCCGCCCACCCCAGCACCACGTTGGCCAGGCTGTCTGCGCAGGCGCCATCTTGAGTGATGGTGGGGCGGGGCCGCCTGGTCCTGAGTGACGGACGGATGGCGCCTTCGACCCCCGCCCGTCCCAGCGCTGTTCGTTGGCGGCCCCAGAGGCTTAAGTACAGGCACTTCTTGAGTGATGGCGGAGCTGCAGGGGGCAGCCCGGAGGTCGCAGCCAGGCTTACTGCAGAAGGCGCCTTTTTGGGGGGCGGCAGGGCCAGGGGCTGTGCTGGCCTGAGGGACGGCAGGCGCCGAGCCGCCCCCCACCCCCACCCCGGGTGTGCTGCGCAGGCGCAGAGCGGCCGGCAGTGCACGCGTGGCGGTGGCGCCATCTTACACGGGGCGCGAGGTGGTCGCACGAGCCTTGCTTCCTCTGAGGGGCGCCAAAGCCGCGTCAGGATTGGGGGACCAGGTTCAACTGCGCGGTCCTGGGGGTCACTGAGGAGAGAACTGCGGTTCAGAATTTAGGAGTTTTAAGAGATATGGGGAACGGCAGGGTCTTAAGCTGAGGAAACGGAGGGGGGGCTTGGGGGCCCGGAGGACATAGTAGGCATCGTGGGCCGGGCCTGGGTCCTGAGGGACAGAGGCTGTGGAGCCGAGGATGGCCGCCAGGGGGCACGGCAGGAGGGAGGGAGGGGGGCGGGGCTTGGGCGGGGCCGCTCAGTGTGGGCGGGTTTTCCTGCTGGGAGGCGTGCCCCCCCCCCCCCGCTCTGTGTGGGCGGGGTTTCCTGCTGGGGGGCGGGGGCAGCTCTGTGTGGGCGGGGTTTCCTGCTGGGGGGCGGGGGCTGCTCTGTGTGGGCGGGGTTTCCTGCTGGGGGGCGGGGGCTGCTCTGCAGGGGCGGGGTTTCCTGCTGGGAGGGGGGCGCCGCTCTGTGGGGGCGGGGTTTCCTGCGGGGGGGGGAGTGAGGGGGGGCAGGGGCCACGCATGCGCACAGCCGCTTGCGGCACTGTCCGCGGGTGGGCAGCAGGCCCCATTCCCGAGCTGAGCTTTTTGGAAATGCGCATCCGCCAGTGGCTGAGCGCCTTCGCACGGCCCACCGGAGCCTGCCAGAACCTGCACGCGGTTCTGTGAGAGCAGGTGGTGATGCGGGTACCGCACAGCGATGGCGAGCGTAGCACCAGGGCCCAGTGGAAGCTGCGCTCCGCCTGTGACTGAAATGGACGCGGTCTGGCCCCGCCTCGCCAGCTACTAAGTGGCAGCACTGAGCTTCGCCCCACTTCTCTAGGGGTGTCCGTACCTCTGCCATCATCCCTCGGGGTGTTCGTGGAAAACAAAAGTAGATGGGCTGTGCTTTGTTTTTGTTTTTTCCAAATGACGTCAGGTTCACCTGTGAAAGTGCTGTCCCGGGCCTGTCGTCAGCAGTGACTAATAGGCCTTCCTAGCCGTTCCCCCTCGCGCCACACGGGTCCCTGCCTTCAGCCAGTGGCCAGTGCCACAGAGCTAATAGGAGGGCTTCCTAAGGTGACACGACCCCACCTGTGTCTCCCTCAGTTCGCTCTGCTGGTTAGAGACGTTCTGAGACACCGCAGGTGACTTGCGCGCCCACTGACACAGCCTGGGTGAGGAAGGCGCTCACGACAGCCCGGGGGCAGCCTGGACCTCCGAGCACTGCCCTGCCACGTGGGAGGGCCGTTCTTCCATCTCAGCTGACTTGTGGGTGCCCGAGAGGAAGGCACTGCTGCTGCGGTGTCATCTCCAGCCGGAGGAACCCAGTCACTGCCAAGCAAACGTGATGTCTCATGTCTCATGTCTTCCTTTCCTTCCCCAGCTTTGCCTTCTCGAACTTCTACCCTTTTCCGAGACGGCTGGCAAGAGGAGATCGGACTAGATTCCAACGCCAGGGGGCTGGGTCCAGGTGAGCCGCGCTTGAGTTCTCTCCTCACAGTGCCACACCCTTCCTTGGAGTGAGCGCGTCCTTCCTCCTCCTGCCACGCGTGGTCCACCCACACGGCCACAGCACCCTTAGTGCTCGCGGAAAATGCACACACACTTCTGGTGGGTCCCGTTCTCCAGACATCCTCCGTGGCCTCATGCCATCCTTTCGGTATCCCCACTCTTCCCAGCACTCAACTACCACTTCAGGCCTCCTCTTTCTCCCTTATTGGGCAATTACGGGAGCATGAGGGAAGTCATCATTCACCAGTAAACACGGCCACCCCCGTGGGAAAGGAAGTGCGTCCCTGGAGCTCAGTGTGTTAAGTAATGAAAGACTTTGAACAGGTGATGGTGAGACACATGCACTCGCTGCAGGCAGTTACCTTAATCTGGAAGAGGCCACATAGGGCCTTTCCGGGGAAACCAGGGACGTGGAAGTTGAGCTCTGACGGGTAGTGGATGGTACCGTGGGAAGAGTAGTATTGGGAGAGGAGACGTGGATGTTCCTAAGGGAACGAGGGGGAGCCAAAAGGCCAGGACTCCGGTCAGCATTGGGTTGAGGTGGGGAACAGGTAAGCACATGGCTTGATCTGAAGCACATGGGAAGCCACGGAGACCTTTTAACCATGGAAGTAACACGATAATCAGGTTTTTGTTTTTAAAATGTCATCTGGTTCAGAAGGGGAAGGTTGAAACAGTGGGTGCCAGGAGACCACCCTCAGGTCTGAGTGAAAGATGGTGGCTTGGATTTAGGGTCACGGCAGAGGGTAAGTGATGAACTTGAGAGGTACTCAGACTCAGCAGGGCCGTCCCCTTTGTTCACGGCCTGCTGACTGACTCAGACCAGACTTAGGGAATCGTGTTGCCTGGGGATGTGAACAGCGCAGCTGCTCATTCTACCAGCAAGCCTTGGTACTGGGCCTGGTCTGGGCAGGGTCATGCTAGACTTTGGGTCTCCAGAAGTGAGTGACATAATCCTTGGCCTCAGTGTCCCCTGAATGAGAACTCCAGTTAAATGCAGAGGAAGACAGCAAGGTGGGTCTTACTTGCCAAGGTGGGTGGCCGTGCTGGTGTACCACCTGGGGACAGGCTAACGTGCTGCTTGAAGTGGGCCCTGGGGGGGGGGGGGGGTTTATGCCCGGCCTGGATGAAAGCGCCCCAGCTGGGAAAACAGTTTGCTCAGTGTTGGTTCACTGATGTATGGTGGGAGGTCACTATAGCAGAGACACAAATACTCAAAAGGGTGTGACCAGCAAATTCTCTCCCTGGAGGCAGACCTACATGGGAAGTGAAAGCATCATGAGAAGGGTGCTTGGTGCATACAGAATCAGAGCAAGAGCACGTGGACACGCTATAAGAGCCCTGGCCTGCACGGGGGCGGGGCCCACCTGGTGCCGTAAGCTCTTGCTGTGGTTACCGTGATACCAGGGGCCCCATCTCCAGCCCCCACCCTCCCCGATCCATTCACAGTAAGTCTGACCCAGGAAACACCTCGAGTGGACAACAATAAGGAAGCTTTGCTGCAACGTGGTAAGTGGTAGAGGTGTGAGCCGGGGGTGATGTGTCGACTATCAGAGGAGCCGCCTCACGGACCAGAGCGAGAGGCTGTGGCTGGTCTGGTAGGGTAGTGGTCATTCCCTGCTTGCTCACATCCCCACATAAGATCCTATCTCAACAGCCCCTCTTGTCCATATATACCTGTTGGCTGGACCAGATGGGACACAGCCTAGGGCAGTGGTTTTCACAGTACACAGCTCCTAAGGTGCTTGTTGGAACCACAGACCTACATTGTCACAGCTGGAAAGGAGGCGCGATTTTCCCAAGTGCCAAAGGCATCCCACATGTGAGGGCCACACCTGAAGCCTACCTTCTCTATGACCACCAGGAGGCAGACGCTCAGACCGGTAGCTATGATGCGCACTGACCACCAGGGGGCAGATGCTCAGACCGGTAGCTATGATGCGCACTGACCACCAGGGGGCAGATGCTCAGACCGGTAGCTATGATGCGCACTGACCACCAGGGGGCAGATGCTCAACGCAGGAGCATATGAGCTGCAGTGACTTGGCAGCTGCAGTTCTAGGGTGATACACCCGGAACCAGAGAGGAGGAAGCTCAATTCTGGGGCGCATCACCCAAGAAACGCCCTCTCACAATCTAGGACCCTTTGGGGGATGTCAGAGAGCCAGTTTCAGCCCGGTCCCTGCAGGCCAACCGAGGGACCCCACTGGTGCACAAATCCATGCAGCAGGCCTCTAGTATATTAATGTTGATTAATGTCACCCCAATCAATTTGCTAAGTAAGATGAAAATTTAAAAATAAATAAAATAGAAATTTTAAATGTTCATTCTAAATAAAAGCCTTTTCCTGCTCCTAGATGATAAAAATTAATATTTTATTTAATTTTTATTTTAGATTTAGCATTTTTATATATGGTATGGTCTTCCCCCTCAAGTTAATGATTGGCTAGTTTTCCTATTCCTACTTATTGAAATAATATACACATCCCTTACTATGTTCCAATGCCACTTTCATAGACTACTACATACTCAACTTTGTATAGTAAACTCATTATGATTCTTAAATGAATCAGTCTTTCTGTTATAAATTGCAAGTGGTTTTCTTTTGTTATTTTTTTTCCTTTGGCTTTGATAGTATAGACAAGACCATCACTTCTTATTTTTATGTCATCTTTCTGCCTTTAGGTATCATACTGTAAAAGAACTTTCTTACCCCAAGATTACATCAAACTATTTCTTGATGATGGAAAAAATAAAAGAATTCCATGGTTAGATGCATTTGTAAAACACTAAACTTTATACCCCTTTCTTGAAGAATCAAGATGTATTACTACTCAATGTGTTTACAGTGATTTATGACATATACCTGCTCTAGAAGACTGTCAAGAACAGAAAATATATATATTTCTTAAATTTTGTGTTTGGCTTGTTGGCCTTTTGACGTACAAATTCTCAAAATATTGATCTAAATGGAATTCTTCCCTGTTACCTTAGAGCCACTGCCCAGTTCCCATTAGTATTCTTTGAAATTCCATTAGATGATACACATTAATTTGGGGGAGGATTTAGAACTTGAGTGTCCTGGATCCATACATCTTCCAGGACTATCCTGTGTCTCTTACTGCAGTATAATTTGTAACTTTATGTAGGTGCTATTTTTTATATTGGAATTCTTCCCGCTTAAAAAAAGTATCGTTGATATATATTTAAGGAGTCTGTTATAAATTATTTCCTTATTAAATTATAACATCTTTCTATTGATTCATAAGAGAATGATAATTTTACACCTTTCTTTATGCCTCAGATTTGTTTTTCTTGTGTTGTAATTAGCTAGAACTCTAGAGCAGCGGTTCTCAACCTGTGGGTCGCGACCCTTTTGGTAGTCAAACAACCCTTTGACAGGGGTCGCCTAAGACCATTGGAAAACACATATATAATTACATATTGTTTTTGTGATTAATCACTATGATTTAATTATGTTTAATTTGTAACTGAAAATACATCCTGTATATCAGATATTTACATTACGATTCCTAACAGTAGCAACATTACAGTTATGAAATAGCAACGAAAATAATTTTATGGTTGGGTCACAACATGAGGAACTGTATTTAAAGAGCCAGAAGGTTGAGAACCACTGCTCTTAGAGTGATGTTCAGTAATGACAGTGTTTAGACTTTTACGTCTGCTTTCATTAAGTGAGTGGTCTTCTGTTTGTTAGTGCTAATCTTCGCCTTGGGTTTTTGAATTCTGGTTTCATAGAGAAAATCTGAAGGTTTTCTGTTTATTTTTCCTGGTTGGCTTATATGACACTGCATTCAGTCTTTCCTTGAAGGTGATCTAAGAGGCCTCACCCCTAATGATCGTGGAGTCAACAGCCATTTGGAGAATGGATCACGGACACTATTTTTACATTTCTTCTGTGTTCATTTGTCATGTGTTTCTTTCTGTGAAATGACTGCAGGTCCCTGGCATTTTGACTGTTCCTGTGCGTAGTGGCTTGTTCAGAAGTTGCAGAAAGGATCTGTTCCAACAGGTGATTTGCGTACCTGAGCGTGTCCTGCTGTCTCTGAGATTGGACTGGATCCTGTCGGGGACCCAGGTTTTCCCTCCGGCAGGCGCGGGCTCTGTTCTCCCTCCCTCCTTCCCTCCGGGGCAGGTGTCAGCTCTGTGCTCTCCCCTCCCTTCCGTGGAGGCCTATTGGCTTCTGAGGCCCCTGCCCTTGCCCGGGGCCGTCCCCCTGAGCCAGGTCCTGGGTAAAATTGTGCTTTTGTCCGAAAGATCACTGCAGTGCTCAGAGCCAGGCCATTTGCCTGCCCCCTGCTTGGAAGTGCCAGCTCAGCAGTGGTATCTAGTGCCCTTCTCCACTGTCACTCCTGCTGCTGAGGAGGCCAGGGCAGCCGGGTGGTGCCACAGCTCCAGGGGGCCATGGAGGGCAGTGCCAGTGGGAGCAGAGCGCCGCCCATCACAGCGGGAGCGCATGGGCCGGTTTACCGCTTTTATTCCCAAACGATAAAGTCTATTTTGAAACTCTAAATAATTGAAACTTTTTTTTTTTTAAATATATTTTATTGATTTTTTTACAGAGAGGAAGGGAGAGAGATAGAGAGTTAGAAACATCGATGAGAGAGAAACATCGATCAGCTGCCTCCTGCACACCTCCTACTGGGGATGTGCCCGCAACCCAGGTACATGCCCTTGACCGGAATCGAACCTGGGACCCTTCAGTCCGCAGGCTGATGCTCTATCCACTGAGCCAAACCGGTTTCGGCTAATTGAAACATATTAATATGTCTTTAGACATATTAAAACAAAATAATTGTTTTAAAATACATTTTTTAATTGATTTCAGAGGGAGAGAGAGAAGCATCAATGATGAGAGGGAATCATCAATCGGCTCCCTCCTGCACGACCCCTACTGGGGATCAAGCCCACAACCTCTGCATGTGCTCTTAACCCGGAATCGAACCCAGGGGCCTTTTAGTCCGCAGGCCAATGCTCTGAATAAAACTAAAAAAAAAAAAAAGACCGTACCCTTTTATGTAATGATGTTTACTTTGAATTTATATTAGTTCACACAAACACTCCATCCGTGCTTTTGTTCTGGCCCTCCGGTCCAGTTTAAGAACCCATTGTGGCCCTCGAGTCAAAAAGTTTGCCCACCCCTGCTCTATCCACTGAGCAACACCGGCCAGGGTGGGTAGTGAGCCTTTTGGGCATATTGGCTTATGGAAGCTTTCTAGTCCTCAAAGAGAGGTTGGTCTGTTCCTTATTTGCAGATACAGGGACAGACTCCAGGACGTAGAGTAAGTTGCCCAGGATTATAAAACCAGTCAGTAGTGCCTGACCGGTGTGGCTCAGTTGTTGGACATCTATGAACCAGGAGGTCATGGTTCGATTCCTGGTCAGGGCACATGCCTGGGTTGCAGGCTTGATCCCCAGTAGGGGGCATGCAGGAGGCAGCCAATCGATGATTCTCATCATTGATGTTTCTATCCCTCTCCCTTCCTCTTTGAAATCAATAGAAATGCATATATTTAAAACAAAACAAAAAAGCCAATCAGTAGCGACCTAACTCCTTCAGTGCATGTGGTGCCCGAGGTCATGCCTGTGACTTGCTGTCCTGTGTGTGTGTGTGGGGGGGGGGGGGTGGCGGGGGCGTTTGCGCACCGCTTGCCCTCTGGGCCTGTTCGCAGAAGCGTTGCTGACGCCCTCGCAGGCTGCCGGGCCTCACCTCCCGGGACGTGTGTCTCCTTGCGCCCTGCAGGTCCCTGAGCACTGGCTGGCACAGCTGCTGCGTCCTTCCCGTGACCCATTTCGGTTGCTGCACTGACAGCTTTCCCTAGAGAGATGATGCCGCTCAAGCGCTTTTACTCTGGCAGAGCCAAGAAGTCCTGGGTCCCAGACCTGTATGACCTAGACAGTGACTTGGCTCAGTACCCGGATGCCATCGTAGGAGGAAGTCCGACTGACTCTGAGTTTTCTCATCAGAGGTTTCGGAATTTCCTCTACGTGGAATTTGTCGGGCCTCAGAAGACCCTGCTCAGACTCCGAAACCTCTGCCTGGACTGGTTGCAGCCGGAAATTAACAGCAAGGAGGAGATCATCGACCTCTTGGTCCTTGAGCAGTACCTGAACATCCTCCCCGAGAGGGTCAGGCTCTGGGTGCAGGCCCGGCGGCCGCAGACCTGCGAGAAGCTCGTGGACCTGCTGGAGATGTACCACGAGGTGTACGGGCCCGAAGGTGAGGCGGGGCGGGCGGCCGCGGGCAGCACACCTCCCTCCCTGGCTGCCACAGCCAGCCGTGTGATGGGCTGTGCCCCCTGGGGAGCAGTCACCGGGTTACACACCAGCCACCCCCCATGAGGAGCCTCCCGCGCCTCGTGCTGTGGCACCGGCTCTGTTTTTTTCATCTTCACCCGAGGATATTTTTCCATAGATTTCTAGAGTGGGAGGGGGGAGAGAGAGAGAGACATCTATTGGTTGCCTCACTCACAAGCCCCTATGGGGCTGGGGAACCTGCAACGGAGGAGCACGTGCCCTTGACCGGGAATCCAACCCACGGCTTTTCATTCCTTGGGCCGATGCTCTAACCACTGAACCACCGACCAGGGCCCGGTTCCCTTTTGGAGACCCACGGGTGTGGTGTGCTGGGAAGTCGTATGTGGCTGCAGTTGTTGGGGGTGCCGTCACAGCCCAGTTTCCACCAGGAGTGGTAGCAGCTGAGGGGTGAGGGGCTCAGAACGCTCCAGCGTCCCGTGGAGGTGGATATGCGGGAGGGGGGCATGGGGAGACCCGAGAGTGGGCAGGTGATGGTCAGCGCTGAGTGGGTGTCTGCTGTCCTCTTAGACAACGGTGTCCACATGCACATTGAAGGCAGATTGAACCGCAATGGAGTAAACAACCCCCTCGCACGCGCCCTCTATTTCTACAGTGAGTACCAGTCGGGTCATGCCGCCCATGGGCCCTGTCCTCCCATTTCCCGAAGGTTCACAGTGGGCATCGGGGCCTCTGAGGGCGGCTGCTGCTGCTCCGAGATCTGGGGGGGCGTAGGTTAATTGATAGTAGATTAGACATTTTATACCCAAGCCAACTCTAACAGAGTGAAATGCAAGACATGTATTGTTAGGGGGGGAGTATTTAGTATGGAAGTTTGCAGTGGGCTGTTTCAAGCTGCACCCATAGCCTTCCCAGGAGGGTTGAGGCTCTAAAGCTACTTCACTTGTTAAACAGTTCTTCAGTGAACTTTAAAAAAATTTTTTAATCAATTCTTTTTAAATATATTTTTATTGGATTCAGAGAGAAAGGGAGAGGGAGATAGAAACAACAATGATGAGAGAGAATCATTGATGGACTGCCTCCTGCACGGCCCCACACCGGGGAGGCGGGGGCATATGGCCCGATCAGGAACCGGATTGTGACCTCCTAGTTCAGTGGTTCTCAACCTGTGGGTCGCGACCCCCTGTGGAGATTGAACGACCCTTTCACAGGGGTCGCCTAAGACCATCGGAAAACACATATATAATTACATATTGTTTTTGTGATTAATCACTATGCTTTAAATATATTCAATTTGTAACAATGAAAAGATATCCGGCATATCAGATATTTACATTATGATTCATAACAGTAGCAAAATGACAGTTATGAAGTAGCAACGAAAATAATTTTATGGTTGGGGGTCAGCACAACATGAACTGTATTAAAGGGTCGCGGCATTAGGAAGGTTGAGAACCACTGACGTAGTTCATAGGTCAACCCTCAGCCACTGAGTCACACTGGCCGGGCTGTTGAGTGAACTTTTAGAAGGAGTGTTGCTGCCCTGACCGGCTTGGCTCAGAGCATCGGCCTGCGGACTGAAAGGTCCCAGGTTCGATTCCGGTCAAGGGCATGTACCTTCGTTGTAGGCACATCCCCAGTAGGGGGTGGGCAGGAGGCAGATGATCGATGTTTCTCTCTCATCGATGTTTCTAACTCTCTATTCCTCTCTGTAAAAAATCAATAAAATATATTTTAAAAAATAAAAATCATCATTCTCCCTTTTAAAAAAAAATAAAAGGAGCGTTGCTTTGGGGGAGGGCGTATGTTTTGTAAGTAGAGTAATGTGCACATTGAGAGAGGCTTGGGTAACTGGACGGCAGAGGGGCTGATGTTCATCTTGGAGGTGGACTTGACCGTGTACAACCTGGGGAATCGCAGAAGTGTCTGCAGCGGGGCGAGCTTCTGAAGTAAGCATCAGAACTTGCTTAAGAGCAACCCCCACGTAGTCAAAGCCTCCAGAAACTGCCCCAGGCCTAGGGGTATGGGAAGTCCATGTTGCCCTTGGGCGTGTGGAGACCTCTATGTGAGATTGGATTCCTGAAGGCAGGAGCAAGGATCGTGTTCTTGTTGAGGGGGCTATGCACATGGGGGAGGGGGGGCACATGTCAGTGCTGTGCTCACCCCAAATGTCTGGCTTTCGCAGGAGACCGGGACCGGGATTGGGACCAGGACTGGGATCGAGACCGAGCCTGGGACCGGGCCTGGGACCGGGCCTGGGACAGGGCCTGGGACCGAGCCTGGGACCGGGGCCGGGCTTGGGAGCGAGCCCGGATGCGGGAGCGGGAGCGGCGGGCCAGAAGCCGGGACTTGTCCTTGCGAGAGCGCTGGCCGTATGGCAGGATTCCCAGAAGCAGTAAGTCCTGCGTTCTCACCTTCCTAATGCGCCTGCAAGGCTGGCTGGGCCTTTTCCTTCACGGGCCTTTCTCTCCCCAGGGTTTCCTCCCCGGGATCTTTCTCTTCCTGCTTCGATGGAGAGAGCGTTTGCGACGGAAAGAGGGCGCCGCCGTCGGAGCTTGATGATGCAGTATGAGTTGCAGTCCCAGGTATGTTTCGGTTCCCTCTCTCCATTACATGGCAGAGCTCCCTTTTTTCCCAAGAGGGCGTGTGTGTTCATCTGCCCCCTAAAATCCCACCTGGGCAGGGAGCCCCAGTTACTCTTGAACGGATCCCAGGTCTGTCCCCAGCGGTGGCAAGTGGCCAGAGTGACCTCTCCCTGTTTCCTGCCTCCTCCACGTGGTCAGAGGAGCTCTCTGCTACTCAGGAAGCTCTCGTCTCTGAGCACAATGAGTGAATCGCTTGGTGCCCTGCATGTCGGTCATGTGGACGTGCAGGGGTGCAGCACCCATTCCTGGGGGCTCGAGTGTAGCTTGTGCAGCTGTGGGCACCATTGGTGATTACAAATGCAAAGGGAACAGCTGCTGTAGAGCTACCCACGTGCGATAGATGAACAATTTTGCACCAAGGCGTCATTTCTCTTTCATAGGGAATTACCATTCAGAATTTAATGTACATATATTATCCTCCGATGAGGCCAATGGAATACAAAGATACGAAAACTGCCTTTTCCCTTTGGCCATTGCCCTTGGGGTCTGTTAACAACAGAGATGGTGACCCTGCTGACTCCCTCAGCCCACCAAGTTCTTGACCTCGTCTGTGGTCTGCCAGCCCCCAGGGGAGGAGCTCGGGTCTCCTTGCTGCCTCACAGGTGCTCTTCACACCTGAGCCCAGCACAGCTCTTGCTCTCGAACTTCCTGTCGCTTCAAGTGATGGGACTCAGCCATGCAGGTGGTAACTGTGCCAGCTTTGCGCTGCCTCTGATCTTTCGTGGCTCATTTGGGCCCTAAAGGTCCTCAGCCGTAACCTAGTTTCATTTTTGAAGCTCTGCATAGCTTTGGTGGTTTTTGGTGTTTAATCACTGGGCACGGACACTTGCTCTCCCCTTAAATCCCAGTGCCTGTGCTCATGTATCTTTCCCAATAGAGATGCACCTAATTTGTGCAACTCCTTTTTTTGCTGCATTTTCTTCTCTCTCTGGAGGCCCATGGGGACAGACTCTGGTGAGGCCTGTGTTTGCTGTTTTAGGGTACAGTGTCAAACCAGGGCACATGGAAGCTCACTAAGGGCAGGAAGGTTCAGAACTCAATTAATGCCCATGCTACTTGCCAGCAGTGGAGCTCTATAATACATTATCAGAGTATCTTTATATAGAGTTTAATGTATGTTTCCTTTACATACTTTTTCCTATTTAAACCACACATCACATTGCAGAACAGCTTCCCCCACAGCACTGCCAGGCGGGCTAATGCCCTTCTCCCCATTTTATAGAACCTGAGGCTCAGAGTTTTCTGTTCCCAAGGCTGCACAGCTCAAAGGCTGCAGTCCTTCTTTGACCCTACTTTCCTGTGGCTCTGGAACCTGTGGGCTCCCCACGGTCCCGTCTCCCTCCTCCCGTGTGTCTCAGGCCTTGGTGCTGTACTCCCCGGGACCACCGCCCTCTGCAAGCAGTCATGTTTTAGTGCAGCAGTAAGAAAAGGTTCTGCATAGAAGGCCCTCTGAGTAATACAGGGAACTTAACAATTCTTTTTAGGAAAGTATCCATTAGAACACAAAAGACAGCTGTGAAATGAAGGCACTCAGTGCCTAAAATCACCCCTGGGTTATTTGGAACTTCTACATGCCCAGAGGAGCCCACAGTGTAGCCGTGTTGTGCAAAGCATGTGTGTGCAAGACATGGATGTGTGTGTGTGTGCAGGGGTGGGAGGCTTAAGTCACACTTCCTGATCAAATGTCTGCTAAAACACATTTCTTTCTGTTCCCTGCATATGCCATGCATAGTTGATATTTAGCCTGTTGAAGCTTTCCCACCAGCCCTCTCTGTCTGTGTCAAAATATTGCCCACCACTGAATGCCCCACAAAAGACTCTCTACAAAACCTTTGCTCACTACTAGTCCAGCCCACCCTGAACTGTCCCTCTACTAAGCCCTTTTAGCACTGATTATCTGTACCCCACTTTATTGTTTATTGTTCTCTAATTGTTTCATGAGTCTTTTCTCTCCAACCAAATTATAAGCTGCATGAGGGCAAGGAATGTGTGTCATACGTCTTTTGGATCTTCCTCAGACTATAGCGCCAAGGTAGGTACAAAGTAGGTCCCTAGTAAACTTGACTTGGACCACTCAGAACCCCAAACGCTGTGAGCACTTTCTACATACCTTTGTATGTTGTAGCTCCCATGTCGCAAGCATTCTTCTCTCTCTGGATGCCCCTCGGACAGGCCCCACTGAGAGGTCCGTGTTTGCTGTTTCAGGACACGATGTCATACCAGGACATGGTGAAGCTCACTGAGGACAGGAAGGCGCAGAACTCGATCAAGGACAACATGGAGAACTACAGGAAGCTGCTGTTCCTGGGTAAGCCGCTGCTCCCGCAGGCACTGGAGCATTTTGCCACCTTCCTCTTTGCAGCTGCAGGATGGTAGAGTCCACGTTGATCTCTCTGGACTTCAAGGGTAATCAGGAACCTTTGAAAGATCTCAAAGCAGAAGCATAAACAAAGAGATTTCTGTTTCTAAGAAATCCTTCTGGCTCTGGGTGAAGACCCTATTGCACAGGGTTGGGGGAACACGGAGATGGCACTTGCCACAAGAGCTAATGCTTTCATAGGTGGTGACAGCACACTTTTAAATACACACTCAGGACGGGACCCTAACATCCCGTGTGCACCTCCAAGAAGAACCTAGCTTTGACCTAGCAGGCAGTTGGCCGTGCGGGTCTGGCGCAGTGGAGAGAGCTGTACCAAGAGTTCTGTGTGAGGCAGTGGAGCCTTGAGGAGCTCCAGTGTTGGCAGAAGAGGCAGGGAAAGAAGAGTCAAGAGGTAGGAGGACACCCCTGGAGGCCAGTGAAACGGGACATCAAGATGGAGGAGGTGGTTAGGAAAAGGTGAAGCCTGAAAAAGATGCAGTGAATTTAGGGAGGCATGAAGGTCTCTCTGTACAAAAGAGTAGGTGGAGTCAGGAAGATTAATTACATTCATGTTAGAACGAGCTAAGGAATGGTAGTAAGGAAGTGAAACTGCAAATACAAGACACCCCAAGGATTGGATTTGGGCTACTTCATATTTAGTGGCTCAGCGAAAGGCAGACATCAATTTATAGTGCTGAGTCTTGGTCCCCAACTTGAGTATGAGCTGTCGTATTATTGTGAACAGGGCTTCAGCTTGCCGAAGATGATGGCCACTCCCACATGACACAAGGCCATTCACGGTCAAAGAGAAGTGCCTACCCAAGCACCAGTCGAGGTAAGCACTAGGTAGATGACGCTTAGTGGCCACTTTAATCGGTGAGATGGGCACTGATCTGTACATACACACAGTGAGTCCTCACTTAACGTCCATAGGCTCTGGAACTATACGTGAAATGAGCAGGCTAATTGATGTCAACAGGGTTAAATTCCTACGGCATCTCAGCAATGTTAAAATGAAACAATGTCACTCGAGGACCTGCTGTACTGATAAGCCTTGAGCAATTTATATTCACACCACCGTCACGGAAGACCTACTGTGATTTTGCACAAGTACAGGAACTAGGGAGTATTTACATTTCGTGCTTCTTTTCAGGTCTGAGAACCATGCCTGAAGCCAAAAAGTCAACCCATCGCCGGGGGATCTGTGAAGAGGAGGCTTCGCATGGAGCGATCATGGAAAAATTCAAGGACGTTTTGCAAAACCCCACATCCGCAAGACCGAGAGTACCTAGTGACCGGTTTCCAAGGGTCCCCAGAAGGGCAGACCACGATTGGAAAGAAGTGTCCTTAGACAGAGAGTCAGTGATTCAGGAGGGGGGCTGTGCAGGGGATGCCTGTCGGGGAGCTTGTAATTGTAACTCGAACCTTGTTTCCAAAAAGAAAGTTCTCGAGAGAAAAAGGCGCTATGAGTTTGACACCGATGGGAAGGGTTCTGCTCACGATCAGAGAGACTCTCCCCGGAAGAAACCCTTTGAAGGCAGTGAGATGAGAAGAGCCATGAGCATGAGCAGCCTTAGCCCCCCTTCTGCCGAGTCGCAGCCGCTTGATTTTGCCGCCATGCCCTATGTGTGTGATGAGTGCGGGAGGGCTTTCAGTGTGATTTCTGAGTTTGTCGAACATCAGATCATGCACACTAGAGAGAATCTCTATGAGTATGGTGAAGCGTTTATCCGTAGTGTGGCTGTCACTCGGAAAAGTGCGGCTCGAGGGAAATGCTTTGAGTGTAAGGAGTGTGGGGAAACCTTCGATAAGACCGTCGATCTTGCTGAGCATTGTCAGATTCACTCTAGAGGGCATCTCGCAGCATGTAATGATGAGGAATATGAGGAGCCCTTCATGCCTAGCCCCACCTTCAGTGAGCTTCAGAAAATGTATGGGAAAGAGAAATTCTATGAGTGTAAGGTGTGTAAGGAAACCTTCCTTCATAGCTCTGCTCTGGTTGAGCACCAGAAGAAAGTCCATGGGAGAGATGACAAGGATGATGAAGTCTTCAAGCCCAACCCAGCCTTTAAGGGGCCGCAGAGAATGCATGCTAAAGAGAAAGTGTACGAATGTAGTGTGTGTGGGGAGACCTTCCGCCACAGCTCATCTCTGAAAGAACATCAGAAGGTTCACACCAGAGCAAACCTGTTTGAAAACAAGAGCAAAGCGTGTGAGGAAACCTTCCTTCCTGGTCAGCCCCTTAGCAGGCATCAGAAATATTACTTACAGGAGAAGCTCTTTGGCTTTAAAGATAATGGGGACGCCTTTGGGCAAAAGATCCTATTCCCCAGGGAGCATCCCTCAGTTCATTTTCAGAAGAATTCCTATGAAGGCAGGGCGTATGGGAAGTCTGTCATTCATAGCAGGCCCTTTACTGAGTCTCGGAAGAGTCATACTATAACAAGACCACCTGAGAACGAGGACGAGAAGGCATTCACCATTAGCTCTAATCCTGATGACAACCAGAAGATTACCACTAAAGAAAATGTCCTTGAGAAGAAACCAAATGAGAGGTCTGTTATTCATAGCTTATCTTTGGCTGAAGTTCAGAAATGTCACAGTGCCGTGGGGCCCAATAAACCAAAAGTGATTGCAGAGTCTACCATTACAAGCCCAAATATTCCTGAACAGAAAGTCCATGCTGGAGAGAAGACCTCTGAAGAAAAGAAGAATGAGAGGTCCGTTATCCATAGCTTACCCGTTTTCAAACTTCCCAAAAGTCCCAGTGGAAATGAATGGAATGAGAAGGGAGGATTCTCAAATCTTCATGCTAAGCAACAGAAACCTCCTGCCAGACCCACCCCTAATGAAGGGGACAAGAGTAGCAACTACAAGGACTCTGTTATACGCCTTGTATCTGGTACTGAACCTCCAAAAAGTCTTGCTGCAGAGGGAGCCAGTGAGTTTAAGAAGGATGGCCAATCGACTGTTTCCAAATCAAATGTCCCTGAACATCAGAAGGCTCGTGCTAAGAAGAAGAACATTGAGCGCGGGAACTGCGAGACTTCAGTAATTCACTCCCTGCACTTCGGTGAACCTGAAACCTTTCGCCCCAGAGAGAAACTCTATGAATGTCCAGAGTGTGGAGAGTCCTTTGTTCGTAGCTCCGACCTCACTGAACATCAGAAGATTCACCATAGAAAGAAGCCTTTTGGAAGCAAAAACTACGAACGATCTGTTATTCGCAGTGTAGCCTCTGCTGATCCACAGACAAGTTATGCTGAACAGCCAGTGCAGGTGAGATATGGCCAAGAGCCAGAAGGGATGACTTGCATTCAGCAGCCAGAGCAGACTAGTTTTCTTGATGAGCTAGTGGAGATGAGTTATGTGAAAGAGCCAGTGAAAGGTTACGGTCAGGAGCCAGTGGGGTTGGCCTGCCTTCAACAGCCAGAAGGGATGGCCTGCCTTCAAGAGCCAGAAGGGATGGCCTGCCTTCAAGAGCCAGAAGGGATGACCTGCCTTCAAGAGCCAGAAGGGATGACCTGCCTTCAAGAGCCAGAAGAGATGACCTGCCTTCAAGAGCCAATGCAGGCTAGTTTCTTCGAAGACCTAGTGGAGATGAATTATGTTGAGGAACCAGTGCAGGGTTACGGTCAGGAGCCAGTGGGGATGATTTGCATTCAACAGCCAGCACAGGCAAGTCATCCTCGCCAGCCAGTAGGAATGAGTTCTGCTGGACAGCCAGCACAGGCAAGTTATCCTCGCCAGCCAGTAGGAATGAGTTCTGCTGGACAGCCAGCACAGGCAAGTTATCCTCGCCAGCCAGTAGGAATGAGTTCTGCTGGACAGCCAGCACAGGCAAGTCGTCCTCGCCAGCCAGTGGGAGTGAGTTATGCTGGACAGCCGGCACAGGCAAGTTGTGCTCAGCATCCAGTGCCGCAAGAATGTAAGGACTGTGGGCAATCCTTCGCGACCATTGAAGACCTTGGTGCCCATCAGAAAATCTACACTCAAGAGGAGTTCCATGGAGGTTCTGTTATTCGGGGTGCAGTCGGTGGCCGGCCTGAGCAGGAAGAGCCTGAGCTGGAGGAGGAGGAAGAGGAGGAAGATTCTGAGGATTCAATCTATGGATGTAAGGACTGTGGGCTGGGCTTTGCAGATCGGGCCGACCTTAAGGACCATCAGAAAGTTCATGGCAGAGAGTACCTCGTCGACACTCGTGAGTACACTCAGTCTGTAATTCACACCCATTCCATCAGCGAGTATCAGAGAGACAACACTGGAGAGCAGCTCTTCGAATGCCCAGCATGTGGCGAGTCTTTTGTTCACAGCTCATTCCTTTTTGAGCATCAGAAAGTTCATGAGCAAGACCCATATTATGGCCACAGGAGGTATGATGAGCCTTTTATGAATCCTTTCATCCTCAACCCACAGAGGTTCCGTGCCCCACAGGCCAATCCTACAGCGATGTATCTTCAGTGCCACGTGTGTGGGCAAGATTTCATTCATGGCTCTGTCTTCAATGAGCATCTGGCACTTCACATGGGAGAGGGCTCACCGGAGCAGGCCCAGAGGGGCAGTGACGCTGTCAGTGCAGGCTTGGCCCTCGCTGAGTTACAGAGAAGCCAGGCCGAAGAGAAGCACTACGAGTGTGGAATATGCGGAGAGGCCTTCCTCAGCCAGGCAGACCTGAGGGAGCACAAGAAAATTCACGAGAAGGATGATGAGCCCTACGATTACGGGGCTTCCTTCGTTCATACCTCGTTTCTTACCGAACCCCCTAAGGGAGATTCTCCATTCTTTGAGTGCAAGGACTGTGGGAAGTCCTTCATTCATAACACAGTTCTCATTAAGCACCAGAAGTTCCATGTTGAAGAGGAAGAAGCAGCAGCCCAGGAAGTCGAAGCCAATGTTCTTGTTCCACGAGAAGTTCTGCGGATCCAGGGGTCGAACATGGAAGCTGCCGAGCCAGAAGTGGAGGCCGCTGAACCGGAAGTAGAGGCTGCTGAGCCCAATGTGGAGGCCGCTGAGCCCAATGGGGAGGCTGAAGGACCAGATGGGGAGGCTGCAGAGCCAAATGGAGAGGCCGAACAGCCCAACGGAGAGGCCGAACAGCCCAACGGGGATGCTGATGAACCAGATGGTGCAGGAATCGAAGACCCTGAAGAGAGAGAGGAAGAGCTAGAGGGGAAGGCTGAAGAGCCAGAGGGGAAGGCTGAAGAGCCAGAGGGAGATGCCGATGAGCCAGATGGTGCAGGGATCGAAGACCCAGAAGAAGAAGATGAAGATGAAGAGATTCAGGTTGAAGAACCATACTATGACTGCCGGGAATGTGGAGAGACCTTCACTACCACCTCGGCCTACGGGGAGCACCGGCAGACCCATGCCAGAGTGATCATATTTGAGTCTGGAAATGGCTATGGGGAAGGCTCCCACTACACTGGGCAGGCCAGCACCAGCACTCAGGGCAGCGATAGGGCTGACGACAAGTACTTCAAATGTGATGTCTGCGGTCAGTTCTTCTGCGACCGCCTCTCCCTTGCTAGACACCAGAACACCCACACTGGCTGAGAACACAAGTGGAAGGTCGGACAGCCTTTCCTGACTTAGGACCTGACCCTCACAGCAAATCCACAGCAACCCATAGTAACGTCAGAAGGACACTTAGCTTGGCTTGTACACACTGACTTTTAACCTCAGATAACTCGGACTGTAAAGGAGCCAGAGGCGGTTCCATTGGTCTTACCTCTTTCCCCATCATACACCAGTGCGTGCGTGTGGGGAAGCCACAGCACATCCCTTCCCTTTCATCCTAGGGACCAGGTTGAGGGACAGTCCTAGGAAAGCTGAGACTACAGAAATAGCCCCAACCAAATGATACTTCTGTAACCTATATGTAACTTTCCTGAGCTGTATATAAAATAGCAAATCATAGCAAACAGTAGTCACAGGTACTTGGATTTAATGATACAGAGTTACAGTTTACTGTGCAGAGATACCTCCGTGGTATGCTTTGATTTTTTTTTTTTTTTTTTGGAAGAGGAAATGAGCAACTCACTTGTAAATATCTTAGTTCCTGTGAAAGATTTGTTGTGCATTATTTTAACCCCTTCAGTATCTTTCTGAGTAACTGTGTTGTCCCTTACTCTTAAATATTCCTGTCAAGGTGTAGGCATGCAAGATAATGTCCTTTCCTCTGTGTGGTTCGAAAGGAGTTCTTTGAGCTTCCTTTTCAGCCATCTCGTCTACACCAACACCTTGTAACCTAATGCTGTATACGCCTTTGCAATTTGTGGATTGACCTTTTGTGACCCAAGTTGATCCCTTGCCATATTGTACCTTGCAGTGATTCTCATGCAAAAATACTGCAAGTTTGTGTTTGTTTAACCAACTTAATGTGTGCTCGAGAGTGAATCCACAAACGCCAAGCTTTTCCCTGTAAATCTTGCTTCTTTGCCTTTAAGAGAGTGGGTTGCAACCATCACTAGATCGCGACAGTGCCTAATGAAGGTTGAAACCGTCAGGAGAGCCTCTCCTGTTGTAAATATGGATGCAGGTGACAACTGTCATCACTTTTTGTGCGCTTTCTGCCTTAAGTGACACGTAGCAGCGTGGCTTTGTTAGTGTGTGCCGCCACGAGTCAGCTTGCACCTGGGCGCCCAGGAGCTTGTATCCTTAGAGCTTTCTATTACCGAACCTAATTCTTGTCTTCACCTGTCTGACCCTCAGCCCCGTGTCTCACTCGCATTTTTTTTAAAAAGAAAAGCTTTCTTTACAGTCAACCTAAGCTTAACATGGACTCAGGTTCCCAGCGCCTTAATTTGTTTTGTTACCATTGTTCTCTCCTCGTTCAGCCCTCCTGAGTAGTTTTGATCTGATTCCATTAAGTACAGATCGACCTCACAGCTTGCGGTTTCCTGTGTCTTTTTCTGTGGGCCACTTGTGCTCCTTTTGCTTCCCCTCACCCCTGCGTCGTGACTATTGAGATTTTTTTTTTTTTTTTGGGTTTGTGTTGACTGGAAAAATAATTTTAAAATTTAAAAAAAATGTAAAGTGGATCTGATGAAGAAGTGAACAAAAGACAAGAGCAGATCATTTGAGAAAGAAAATGCCAATGCTTTCTTTGGGAATGTGCCCAAATCTCACTCTCCTAGATCTGCATGGTTAGGGCTTGAGAGTGTCAGAGCTGCTGGGAGTGCCAAAGTCTGGAGGAGTTGTGGGGCTGAGGGCATGGAGCAGAACGGAGAAAGCCAAAGAAAGGAGTCCTAACACAGCAGCAGACAGGGAGGGTGAGGAAGCAGGCAGAGGGAAACACCGGAAATGGACTGGAAGGCCAGGTCGGTGAGAATATGGCCTGGGCACTTTAGAGGGGGCCATCTGGATGGCACAGTGGTGGCGAGGGCCAGCTGCATCGAAAGACCAGAGGTTGGAACGGACATCCGGAAAAATGGGAGCAGGGCCCTTGAGAAGGGAGCCATTGCTGATGTTGGGGCCAACTCGGGTTCATCCCTGTTGGCAGCACCAATTGGTAGCTCCTTCTCTGAAAGCAACTTGCCAAATGTCAGGGTGTCCGTTCCAACCTTGTGTTCGTGAAAAATTAGGAACAACTTTGATGCCAAACAATAGAATGATTAAGTGAACCTATGTTGATTCTTACTCAGCTGTTTTAAAAATGATAATCATGCAGAGTTATGTAGTAGCGTGGAAATATATTTACAGAATATTAAGTGGAAAAAAGCAGGACACAGAATTATATTTATACTACAATTATAACTGTTTAAAAAGGTATGCTTTTAGTCAACAGCTGTTGTGTTGTAGGTTTCTAGTTGAGCATTATTTTTCTTAAATTCCTTGATGTTATTAATGGTGGTGGTGTTGTTACTAAAAAGTTTATAGTCATGTCTCCATTGTGAACAAAATTTGAACTCATTATCAGATACTTGGAAAATACAGAAAAGTGGAGGAAAACAAACAAACCATATTCCCACCATCCAAAGACAGATACACTCTTCAGTATATTGTTTCTTGTTTCTGTGCACAGGCTTATGATTATCACTGTGTCAAAATGTGTCTTCAAAGTTGATGTTATGTTACCTTGGTTTTCAAATGTCCCTTATTAATAGTATTCTGATTTTTAAAAGTTTATTATGCTTCTGTTACAAGCATAATACATACCCAGAGGAAAAAAATTGGAAGATACAGTAAATTAGAAAAGAAAAAAACTTCACTCATATTCCCAACACCCAACAACTGAATATCTTGATCTGTTTCCTCCATCTTGTGCACAAACTTATGGTGAGTGTTGAATATGTATGCATCAAGTCTACAGTGATAAAAAGTGTGGAGAATCATTAACATAGTGTTGTTGTTATGGAATTATGGTTAAATATTTTGTCTCAAATTCCTTGGGTGATCTTTGGTGTTTTGCTATTAAATCTTATGTATGTATTTTCCCATTGCAAATATAATACTCAGAATTTGGGGGAATTCAATCAAATAGAAAAGAAATCCACCCATATTCCCAGCACCTAACAGCTCCTATTAACATCTGTCTGTACACCAGTCTGTGATTGTTAGGGTGTTAATGATAAGTATGCATAGAGTCAAAGATGGGAAGAAATATGGAAAGTAATTAAGAAATAGGTGTGTGGTTGTGGGATTAAGGTTAAGTATTTTGTCTTGATTTCTTTGAATGATCTTTATCGTAGTGTTTTGGTAATTCACCTTTATTATATCTATTTCCATAGTAATCACAGCGTGTGTTCATTATAGAAACTTGCAGAAAGTAGAAGAGATACACCCATATTTTCATCATCCAAAGACTGTGGTTAACATCTTGATATATTTTTGCATCTTGTTTCTGTGCACAGGTTTTTGGTTTGTTAATATGGTTGTGGTCGTTCTATCTCTCTGTAATAGTGTCACCAATAAAAATAAAGTTAACAATAAGATCTTTCTCAGTCTCTTCTTTTATCCATTTTAAGTGTCTGGGATTGATAAATACAGTTTTTAAAATTCTAAATCCAAAAACTTAGTGCCTTCTTAGGCCTTAACTTTTGCATTAAAACTCTTATTTCAGTTTTAAGTATTGCATATTTTGATTCGAAGGGATTTTTAAGTGCATGATTCCACATTTTTAGCTATGTTTATACAATTAAAACATTCTTAATAGTGTTTAATCAGTAGATGAGTGGATAAAAAAGCTGTGGTACATTTATACCATGGAATACTATGCAGCAGTAAAAAAGAAGAATATCTTGCCCTTTTATGACAGCATGGAGGGACCTGGAGAGTATAATGCTAAGTGAAATCAGTCAGTCAGAGAAAGACAAGTATCACGTGACCGCACTCGTGTGGAATCTTAGTAACAAAATAAACTGATGATCAGAGTGGATTCAGAGACATGGAGCATGGAACAGAGTGTGGAATCTCAGGGAAGGCGGGGGAGGGTGGGTGGATGGGAGGTAGTCAACCAAAGACCATGTATGTATATATGCATGGCCCATGGACACAGACAATAAGGTGCTGAAGGACTGGTGTGGGGGGTTAGAGGGGGGGTCACTGGGGGGAAAAAGGGAACATATGTAATACTTTGAACAATAGAAAAAAACCACGATAACCACATGTGAATTTCAGTTATTTGAGTCAGTATTCCTAAATCTTCCCTGAGGTTAAAAGGTGTTTATCTTGAGTTATGTCCCTTGTAAACCTGACCTCACCACCAGAAACATCCCGGGCAACTTGGCGGGTTGTCCCCCAGATATGTTGGGAGGTGATTTTTAAATATGCCTGTGCGTCCATCATGGCCAAAGACGTCCAGCCAGGTTGCCCCATCCCCAATTGGGGATTGTGCCCCTGATTCTATGACACAAAGATTTCCCATATTTGACATCCTTCTAAGCCCCTTAGCGACTCTGGAATTTGTCAGAGCCCTGCGTTCTTTCGTACTCTCAGGACTTGTGTGTATTAAAATGGAAGTCCATCCTGTTTCGGTCATGTCCTGTGGTGTCTGACTGGTCACAACGCTAATGTCCTGTGAGAGGGAGCATCAGTGTAGGTCATGGTGAGAGGGTCAGTTCTTGCGTAAGATTGATTTCCCGAAGAGTATATCATGGAAGGAAGTAGACGAAGGGAATGCAGTGAGGGTCCCCTGGAGTTGCCTGACCAGCACTTAACACTGGGGAATTCTTCCCCTCCCACCTCAGTTGTAGGGATAACCACTCCCAGGCCACCACGTTTATTCTGCGAGATTTGACCCCTCCCTGGCCTCCGCTGATGGGTGCTCATGGGTTCCCAGTGTCCAGACTCAGACTGAGGGCCACCTGAATGGTCATATAGGTTGGGGCTGGGTGTGATGAGGAACCAACAGACCTGGGATAAAGCCACATGGCCAGAGGGAAGCTTGGTTCCTGGTGCCTCAACCACCCCCGTGCCCTGTGAATCCTCACAGAACTGCCTAACTTTGGGGTCCCTAACTCTTACGTCTTTAAGGCTCCTCCCCTCTCAAGTGAGATGGCTTTATTATTGGTGTCATTCATGCTGTTTTCACCAAACCCAAATCCCTCCCCCTTCCTGGGACCACTCGGTCTTGTAAGAACGCTATAGCACCCTGCCCTGCCCCTTCCAAAGGCTCTCTTTCTCATCAATACAAACATATCCTCAGGTGAGGATTAAAAAAATACATTAACCATATGTTATCATCATCATTATGCGTAACAATTATTATACTGTTCTCATACATTTCGAGCCCTTGTTAAATATGTGTTAGTTAAACATACTGGTCCCTAAACATAGGAAAATTTGTTCTATCTTGCTCACGAAAAGAGAAATGTAAACTAGAACTACCCTGAGATACTGTTTCTCCCAGCCCTCGCTATAGGAAACGTAAAAAAAAAGCATAATATGACACTGGGGACGCAGATAATCTCTCTCGCACAGGCTGCAACAGTGTCTATGGACGATGATGTAGAAATTTCTATCAAAATGACACACGAATCGATCAGACCGATCAGACCGTCAAACCTCAGAGGGAAGGCAGGGGAGGGCGGGGGGAAGGGGGAGAGATCAACCACAGGACTTGTATGCAAGCATATAGGCCTAACCAATGGACACAGACACCAGGGGGGGTGAGGGCATGAGGGGGGAGCGGGAATGGGGGGATAAGGACACATATGTAATAACTTAATCAACAAAGGAAAAAATAAACCAAAAAAAAAAAAAAGAAGAAAGAATAAGAAACAACAAAAAGAAAATGACACACACACACGTCCTTTACATCAGCAATTCCACTTCAGGGGAACGAGCTCACCAACTTCCACGCCAGCAGAATTGCTGACGGTCAAGGTGTTGTATCAGCCCTGGTTGTAGTAGCAAAGGACTGAAAACACCTCGACAGTCCCACAGCCAGGAACGGGTTCAATGACTCCGACCCCAACCGCACACAGAATCCAAAGAGCTGTCAGAAATGGTGAGCAAATTCTCTTTGCACTGAAATGAGAGGCTCTCTGAGATATACTGGTAAGTATAAAGAAATGCAGGCACGGAACTGTGTGTAAAGTATGCCACCTTTTGTATAGAAAAAGGTAAAATACATGTATTACATTTCTACAAATATATAATTGTATATCGTAGTGAATACGTAGTATAACGATGTGTTACATATTGGATAATTACATTTATTTACATATATCATATTGTACACATAAAGCTGTATTATAGCTTACATCTTTAAAAGCTCAAATATAAAATATATCTTATATTTTAAAATATATTCATTCATATTACTGATGTACATATGTACAGAATATATATTATAGTGTAGATATATGTGCATAATACATACCAATGATAATCACACATGTATGGATATGTGCATGTGTATAATATTCATGCATTATCTATATACTAGAGGCCCAGTGAGCGAAATTCATGCCTAGGTAGGATTCCTAGTGGCTGTTGGCTGCTGGCCGGGGCCTCCCTTCTCCCAGCTGCCTGCTGCCACTGCTGCTGGCCAGGACAGGGCCTGCCCGGGAGAGGGGCCACTGGAGGTTGGCCCACCAGCCCTACCCCCTGGTCAAACTCCCGGTGGAGGGGAAAATTTGCATATTAGACTTTTTATTATATAGTGTTCTTTAAAAAAAAAATACCTTTATTGACTTCAGAGGGGAAAAGAGGGAGAGAGAGATAGAAACACCAATGATGAGAGAGAATCATTGATTAGCTGCCTCCTGCACGCTCCACACTGGCGGGCCGAGTCCACAACCCTGGCCTGTGTCCTGACCGGGAGTCAAGCCATGACCTCCTGGTTCATAGGTCTACGCTCAACCTGAGCCACGCCGGCCTGATTCTATATACAGTGGGGCCTTGACTTACGAGTGTCCCGACTAATGATTTTTTTGAGATACCAGCTGTCTCTCAGCCGATTTTTTGCATTGAGTTGATAGAGTAATTTGAGTTAACGAGCTCCTTAATGAGCTCCTTAACGAGCTCGGTCTCGGAACGAATTAAACTCGTAAGTCAAGGCCCCAATGTATTATTATCTGTGCATAAAGAAACTGTGAAAGGACACAAAATAATTACAGTGGTTACCTGTGTGCATATGCAATTAAAACTTATAAATATGGAAAAGCCAAAAGGAATTGGGCGGCATAAAAATTTGGTGGGTGGCACAACACACACACACACACACACACACACACACACACACTGAGAGCAACCCTGCTCACTGAATCCTGTTTATTTCCCTAACACTTTATAACTAGAAATATTGGGAGATCGTTTTGTAAGCTGTATAAATAAAGTATAGCCCTAGTCGGTCTGGCTCAGTGAATAGAGTGTCGGCCTGTGGACTGAAGGGTCCCAGGTTCAATTCTGGTCAAGGGCACAGGCCCGGGTTGCAGGCTCCATCCCCATGGGGGGCGTGCAGGAGGCAGCCGATCAATGATTCTCTCTCATCATTGATGTTTCTATCTCTCTCTCCCTCTCCCTTCCTCTCTGAAATCAATAAAGAAATATATTTTTATTTTTTTTAAATTTTTTTTATTTTTATTTTTTTTAAGAAATATATTTTTAAATAAGGTTTATACTAGTAAATGCCTAATCACTATGCTGTACGCCTGAAAGTAATATGCTGCATGCCCACTGTAATTGAAAAACAAATTAAAATAACTTTAATCCATTGTATTCACCAGCCAAAACTTGAAGCATTTCAAGGAGAGAAGCCCTGGGGTGCCGATCCGCCACCTCCTCCCCGCCACACCCCACTTTGGTCCGCTCCCCGTCCAGCCGCGTCCTCGCGCGCCCCCTAGTGGATCCCGCCCGCAGCGGCTTTCCCCGCGGAGCGCACGCGCAGACCCGGTGCAGCGCGGCGCGGCGCGGCACGGCGCATGCGCGGCACGTTTGGGCGCGAAGTCTAAAACCCTGCGGCTCAGTCCGGCCGGGCGTGCTGCGGCGGCGGCGGACGAGGTGAGCGCGCGGCGCTGGGCGGCGAGTGGGCAGCGCGGGGACGGAGGGTCGCCCTGAGGGGGACGCACGGGGGGCAGGGGTGACCCCGGTCTCCCTGAGGGGACGCACGGGGGGGGGTGACCCCGGTCTCCCTGAGGGGACGCACAGGGGGGCAGGGGTGACCCCGGTCTCCCTGAGGGGGACGCACGGGGGGCAGGGGTGACCCCGGTCTCCCTGAGGGGGACGCACGGGGGGCAGGGGTGACCCCGGTCTCCCTGAGGGGGACGCACGGGGGGCAGGGGTGACCCCGGTCTCCCTGAGGGGGACGCACGGGGGGCAGGGGTGACCCCGGTCTCCCTGAGGGGGACGCACGGGGGGCAGGGGTGACCCGGTCTCCCTGAGGGGGACGCACGGGGGGCAGGGGTGACCCCGGTCTCCCTGAGGGGGACGCACGGGGGGCAGGGGTGACCCCGGTCTCCCTGAGGGGGACGCACGGGGGGCAGGGGTG